AACAGGGCTTTATTTTTTAAGAACATTAGTTTCGCCGAAACAAATTTCGCATAACAAAAAATGTGCACATGAACCATGGTTCTTTTTATTGTCAACACCAACAAACTCGCCGAGTTTCATCAAAATCAATGGTCAACCTCTAGCTGACTTGGCGTGGAATTACTCATTTTGATTTAAAAAATATTCTTAATTAATATTCATGCAGTTTATATTATTAAATTAGATAACAACTAATTACCCAACTATTTGGTCCATTATTTATAAAATCCCAACCATTTTATAATTATTAATACCAAATGTTATTAATATTGATTTTAATAAATTAATACGTGACTTGTAACTTTAAATATTAAATAATTCAAGGTAAAAATAATTTCTTATACGCAGTAAACGATTTATAACTGTTTTTTAAGATGTTTTCATGCAAACTTAAATAAATAAATATTACACCTTTAAATTTCATGTACAAAACAAAATAACGTTTATAATCATGAAGCAATAATTTACTAAGATGTTTTGGTGAAAAGAAAACATTTTTGTCAATTCTATTTACAGAAAGATGTATTGCAAATGCTTATTTGTAACATTTGCAAGAACGTTACCTTAAAGATTCCATAAATACGACTAATTACTTGAATGATTGGCCAATTTTGGTAATAATTGTTGTTTTAATGCGCCATAAACTACTGTTGTTAAGTTATAACCGAGGTGCAAGGATACACACAGGAGACAGGAAAACTTGTTGAATAGACTCCAAATTGTGGGCGTGTATTAGACACACTCTATTTTCGACTGATCAATCAAAATTCGTTTAATTTGATCTTTTTGGTAAAAGAAACACGGCTATTGGAAAAAAACGATTACATCTATAACCCACACAGCACGCTTTTTCCACACAGTTGACTATCCTGTCTTATGTATCCTTGCCGAGGTATTAAAATAACATGGGTTATTTTATGATTGATTTTTTTGCAAATCTCAGATAGTAACATATTTTGAACAGATGTTTTAAAGGAAATAATTTCGTTTTTAGATTTGGAGACCCCAATATCTAATAAGACAACGAACCTGAAATTGCAATTTCAGTTAGTTTTTTAATTTTATATTTTAATGTGACATTTTAAGGTGGATAAAAATAAAATTAAACAATAAAACGGCAATGCAGCAATAATAAAAGTTTACAAAAGCAGGTAAAGAAAAAGCAGGTAAGGGGACATCCATTAATTACGTGAGGGATTTTTCTAAAAAATTTGGACCACCCTCTCCCTTTGTGAGATTTGGTGAGATGTGGTAGACGCTCCCTATCCCCCACGTGAGATTTTTATTTAACTTTCTTTGTAAACAACATGTAAAAAAATATTAATTTTTTTTTACAAATTTGAATTATAATACATTTTTTTAAACTCAAAAGTTGACGTGAGATTTTAAATGACCCCTCCCCCTATTTTTGTCTCACGTAATTAATGGATGTACTTAAAGTACTATAAGTAATATAATAATATAATAATTGTTACTTATTGTCACAATGAACAAATGAAATATATGAAAAAAACTATTATAAACGCTAAAGAAGTATCGCTAGTAGCACCACCACTCGGCTGTTATCATCGTAACAAAAGTACTACTGTCAAACGCTTATGTTACAAACGAGTGTTTTTGAGAATAAAGCCGGAAAATGTTAAAAAATATAAAAAAACCGTGGCTCGATTTAAAAAATTTAAACACAACAATTGTTGTGTTGTTGGGTGTATTTCAAGAGGAAATCCTGGGTTGAGTTTTTACCAGTTTTCCAATGAACAGTGTTAATCTGAATAAAGAAATAAATTGCATACAGTCTCTGTAAATATAAATTGTAGGCACCTATTAGATACAATAAATACACATTTTAGAAATGATTAACGTGAAAAGTGTAAACATTTCAGTTCAGTAAAAATAGTCAAACAAATAAGTCGTCTAAATTTAAACAGCATTTAGCATAATTAAAAGCGTTGAATAAGAAATTCTCCACTCCACATGGTACAATACCATTATATTTTGTATTATATATAATATTATGTTGCCATGAAATGGTAGGTTTATTTTGTTGTTTAAAATGCAGTTTTCAGCGTTTTTTAGAGAACTTAAATATAAAAATGGTTGATTTTAAGGTTATGTTTGTGCAAAAATATAGAATATTTGGATATAAATTATCTATATCAAAATGAAATCAATTAAAGAAGCGTCAAATGTGTTATTGTGGATTTTTGAATAGCCTCGGTAAAATGATTGTTTTAAAATCCATTATTAATAGAATATTACTTACTATTCTAAATTATAAAAAAGTCGGTAATTTCTGTATACTGCACGTTTAATATAAGATGTATTATAATTTAATGTATAATTATTATATTACTATTATTATATTATTATTATTATATTACTATTATAGTACATCTTATATTAAACGTGCAATAAAGAAATGATCTACTTTTTTATTTTATAACACTTTATATAAATAGCATACGTATATAGGTAGTTTGTTTGTGCGTAAGAACGCTATAGCGATTATATGAGACTTGGGCTAAAGATTTATTATATTTTTACAGCTACCTTTCTTGGCACATAAGGCTGTTCTTATTTTCAATGAAATTGGATCATTGTCTCCAAATATGCTTTAATACGATTTTTTTATATAGACATTTTGGTTTTTATAAATTGGCACATATTTATTTTCTTATTTGGACATTGGACATTAGACATATTTGAAGATGGCCTCTAAATAATTTGAATTTTATTTAATTTACATGGTAATCATATAATATAAACTTGGTTATTAATTTTAAGACCAACTCAAAACATTTAAAATTTATATCCATTTAGCACTTGGATGGTATGTTTAATATTAAAATAAAAAGTTATGTATACAAATTTATAAATAAGTATAAAAATTAATTATTACATAAGGCTGTTCTTATTTTCAATGAAATTGGATCATTGTCTCCAAATATGCTTTAATACGATTTTTTTATATAGACATTTTGGTTTTTATAAATTGGCACATATTTATTTTCTTATTTGGACATTGGACATTAGACATATTTGAAGATGGCCTCTAAATAATTTGAATTTTATTTAATTTACATGGTAATCATATAATATAAACTTGGTTATTAATTTTAAGACCAACTCAAAACATTTAAAATTTATATCCATTTAGCACTTGGATGGTATGTTTAATATTAAAATAAAAAGTTATGTATACAAATTTATAAATAAGTATAAAAATTAATTATGGTATTTAAAAAAGACATCAAATCAGAAATTTAACAGTCTTATATTGTTGGATGAAATAACGCATTTCTAAGTTGTTGTTCAGTGGTTTTTATGCAGAATGCAGAAACATAGTAGTAATTAAGTAATTATAATTATAGTAGAAAAACCTTGTAAATAAATGCTCGTTTTTTAATAATATAGTTTACAATCATAATTGTAATCCACATTGTTGTTACTAAATGGTCATTTACGAATAAGAGTTAATGAATTAGATAGAAATATAGACACCTAAGTCATGTGTTTTGGTTTACTGATTTATAGGTAATACAGATTTTTTTATTAAATATTAATAATTAATTAATAAACAATAATTAATACAAAAATTATTAAAAACGGTTTGACAGCATATGACAATCAAAAGGGATAAAAGGCTATATTAATATCAGTTCTATAGAACTGATATTAATGGGCTGTCATCAAACAATCAATTTTAAGGTTAATTTACCATAATCCACAAATTTACCATAACCACAATTAATTTGACAGTTTGATGACAGTCCTGATGGAATACGCTGAAGAAGTATCGGGTTTTCGTAACGCGCGCACCATCTGGTGGGCTTCGATAGCAATGTGTGAATTTAAGAATTGTCAACAATACAACATCATTTTTAAATAAATAGTTCGTTTTTTCACAAAAGAGAGGAAGGCAGAAGTCTTATTCGACAAATTTTGTTCAATTGCACAGCTAAATCGCGCACGTTATTTGTGTTTTACGTTGCAAGGAAAATCTAAAAAACTGGTTTAAAGACAACTTTTTTAAAATGACATTTTGGTGAAAATTTGCGAAAACCAATCCTGAACCGATATTTACGTTCGTGACATGTTTTCTTTATAATTTTGACCTCCTGATTGTGATTCAGTTGTCAAATTTAAGTTTCAGATAAAACCAAAATCACTAAGAATCAAAATTCGAAAACAATTCCCGGCTGTTAAATTGCCTTCAAAAAAGCCTTGAATATACATACTCTTTTAGAAAAAAAAAATCATATTTTCGTTGCTACGATTCCAATTCGAAAATTTTGAAAAGCGTTTCAAGATAAGACATAATACTTCATTATTTCAAAGTAAAAACGAGAAAAAAATTATTTTTTTACAAACGGGGCTTGGATGAAGTTATTGAAAATGTTCACTGTTTAACATATCACTCTGTAGGAAATTTACTTGAAGAACCTTAAGCTTCATATCTATATCATGAATTGCCAGAGGATGGGGCTAGGAGACATCACAGACCAAAATTAAATCGTTCAAGAAACAAAAAAGTTATGTCTTTTTGAAAAAGAACGAACTTTTTGGTCGCGACACATTGAGTGGTGCGCAGTTTAGTTGACTTTGATGATAGAAAATACGGTATTGTAAATACCTAATCGGTTTTGATAATATTTTACCTACAAGTTTCAGAAGTCCTTTGAATTGATCTGAGGCGGCAAAGTCAAGTCATTTTTGACTAATTTATTTTAAGAAAGTAAGAAATGCCCTTATGTATATTAGGCAAAAATAATAATTTTGCGTAAAATCCGGCCTCTACAAATGACTAAACAAATCAAGAGCACGGGTTACGCAAGAAGAAGAAAGAGGAAAAAATCTGCGACTATGTGTGTTGTGCTCCCGCGACCGGGCAAAACATCTTTGCATTTGGGTCGTAGGAGTGCATGGATCTCCCTTCTCCTGTTTCAGCCTTGTGACCCGGTGACCTCCCGCGTCTTCACTCCCGAACGGATCGCGTTGCCGTTGCTTGCTGCTGTTGCTGCCGATGCTCGTCTTCTGCAGTCAACTGTTTCTAGCGACCCGAGCCGGTTAAACGAACTATTGTTTTACGTAACCTGTGATCGAGAGTGCGAATTTATTAGATTGGTGACCGTTATCGGGATTATAGATAAGATATGAAGTGGCCTGTGGTGGTTGGGATATTTACACTTTTTGGTGCTATATATGCTCAGGTAAACATTTTTTAATTTACCTATTTAAAAAAAATTACGGCAAAGCAAAATATTGTGTGATTATATGGTTTTTTGAAGTTATATCTACTAATAAATAAGTAAATTCTTATAACATTTTAGCAATTACAATTTTAATCTAGTTTGTTATAGGTTATTTTATTTTTATAGGCAATATAAAGTCCATTAAAAATAATTTAAAATAACAGCTTAAAAATAAACAATGGATGTTTGTTCCTATGGGACTACACAGATTTTTTTACAATAAACTGTTGTTAAAATAGTAATTTATGTTATAAGGCTGAGAAGTTAGCGAAGCACAAAAAGACACGTCGAATGGCATACATATATTTTATCTTTAAGGCACAGGTTTATTTGTTAAACAATACATAAAGCGTACTTACAATTGAATCGGTGAGATTAAGAAAAGTACAAAGTACAAGTTAAAATTTTGAAAAATTATTTTATAAAATCAGTTGTATAGTTCAAAATATATTTTGGTGGGAATATTTTAACTACTTTATATAATATTGTAATCATATTTTATAAAATAATTTATATCTTCTCACAAAAATGCATTTTAGACTTTTAAATTGATTGTAGAAAATGATAAGTATAAAGTGAGGTTAGAGAACTTCGGAATTGTCAGCGGTTATGGATTTTTTTTTGCTCTTCACGGGTTTTTTTACAGACTAGGATGTAAAAATTTTCACCTGATTCTAATTTTCTAATATTTACAGCCTAGAAAATAATCAAATACTTTGATAGTGAGCGTTGACAACAATAAAGCTTAAATTATAAAAACACTTAAAAAATATTATTATTTCCACATTTCGAAAGAGTTACTAGTGCTAAGTTGAAGTATAATTAAATATAATAAGAATAACAATAATTTACAGGATTACTCTCTAATAATGAAGTAGTCAAAAATGACTAATTTAATAGTTATTAGTGGCTGCTTTTTCACTTGTAACATGGTTAACCATGGTTAACCATACCAAAATTTAACAGCCAATTCTTATGTAAAATTTTCTCCTAAATCCGAAAATACCGTCAAAAATTATGAAAGCGGATCAGTTTTTGAGATATAGTCAATTCCATATTAAATTAAAAAGTGACTATATCTTAAAAACTGTTCTACTTTATTAACTTTTGACGACATTTTCGGATTCAGGGGACAATTTTACAAGAATTGGCTGTTAAATTTTGGGATACCATGGTATTCCATAATTAACCATGGTACATGTGAAAAAGCAGCCACTAATAACTATTAAATTAGTCATCTTTGACTAATTAATTTTTAGAGAGTACATGATTTTTTATCTTTTTTTCAAACTCATAACAATGTTTATATTACAAGCCTATAAAATATATTTGTACGAAGTTCAAAAGTTATATTATTATAGAATAATAAACACAATAAAACAACATGATTTCATCTGTAAACTGTTAAATTACAGGTCACTGTAGCATAAATTCATGCACATAACCTACATATAATGTCAAACGTCAACATTATCTACCTATAACAAAATGTCGCAAACTCAAGAATTCCAATGTTAGTACCAGTGGCGGCTGGTGACATATAAAATTGGGGGAGGGGGCAGAAATTTATATACATGCAAAAATTGGATACTAAACTTACCGATGTATGTAAGATGTGAGACACATAAGCCCATATTTAAATTAACACAAGTAATTATATAATCTACGATATTTATCTCCATTTTAAAAATAACAGAAAACAATAACTCGCACCAAGACACGACGACCGGCGAGATTTTCGACTAACTGACCTTCCTCAGAACAAAGTAAACTGAATACATCGGCAACGCGCTGACGGGCATCTTACTATTTAGCACGGTTATGATGGCTGACGCCTACTGAAACAGATATATTCCGCCCGCACGCCGCACACCCCCGCCTTCATCGATACGTCGGACTAACAGTTCAGATTTGAATCTGCCCGGCTTGTAACTATCCATCCTAAAAAAGTTTACCCGTATTAACCGTCCTAAATTTAATATTGAGCAGCCGCCACTGGTTAGTACAGAATTGTTAAATGCTTTACAAATAGTATGTATATACTTACTATATAGTATATACTAACGTGGCGAATAAATCATATTTACTGCCTCGCTTAGATCTGCTTCCTCGAAAGCAAACACCAATATAACTTATATTATAGCCGAGCTCAGTGTTTATTATATGAGCGTTTTCGTCGCCTTTCGGATAATGTACTATTTCATGTTATATCGGATACAATTTTTTATTACTATAATTATTTCATATGGTTTTGCGTAATTTTTTTAGATTTATACTTAAATTTTAGTTTTATATTTATTAATATTTTCTTTTCTAACAATAGTTATTGTTTTAATTCTAAGCTATATTTAAAATTTTCTTAGTTTTGTAATTTTTATGATTTTCCAGTGTTTATTATTTTATCTATTCCAAACCGTTTTTTACCAGGTCCGGTATTGCTTTAAGGACAAATTAGTTAAAATAGTATCAATATTATCATATCACATCTGCTTTTAGTTATTCCGAAAAAAAGATAAAACCCCACTTTTTATTGGAATTCGTGTTAGAATTTCTAACTTGGAAATCTACCTGCGTTAAAATTACAATTTTTTCTATGTAAACCAAAACTTATCCCTTGAAAATTGACTAACATGCCAAATAGAAGCAGTTGTCCACAGTAAAAGTAAAGAAAATGTTTTATGGACACTGCTAGTTTACTGCACTACTACGGCAAATGAAAAGGTCAGTACAAATGTTCATATAATCTTTTCAAATATTGGCGTCAAGAAACTACTTAATATTTTTTTTTGTATTTTGTATTGAGATAATAAAATATTTTTTACATTTAGTATTATTTTACAAGAACGGCACTAAAAGGGACTAAAAACCTGTTGCTAACTTCAGCACGTGACTAAAAAGCCATAAAGCCACAACGTGTTAATGTGTATTTAAAAGGACACTTAGTGTCATGGAAACATGTACCATAATGGGCCTTTTAAAGGTGGGAGTAGAAAAAATATTATCATTTTAATATAGTTTTATACACTTTAATATTCCAAAATATGCTTTTAAAATAAGTAATTTAATATTCTTTTTTAATTTCTTAGGTTAATCTACCAACTACTACTTGAAATATATTTTTGACTTTAAAAACGCTGCGACTTTAATTTAATAATAATAATTATTAAATAATTTAATATTTTAATTTTAATTTTATGACCATATTTTTCTTTTAAATTTTCAACAAAGGTTTTGCACATTGTCGGGTTCAAATTTAAATTACCATTTAATTTTTGAAACAGATTAGGTTCTTACTTATTTTCCCGACTGGCTTAGAAAAAAAATAATTCTATTAAATAATTGTTTGTGTGCATGGTGCTGGTAACTTATGGTGACCTTGGGAGGCGCGCCGCGGCGTGACATTTATACTACACATGAGGCGCCGTGACTGTTAAATGTCTTACAATGATGTCTTTAGTAAAGACTCTTTACCATTCGTATCGATGCTTGTAGATATAGATAGATTTATATTGTGAAATTGGGCCACAAATGTGGAATACCGTTCTGTAAACTGTTACCTAATTGATCAAAATATTTTGGTAAACTGTTGTGATGGGTAGGGTGGCTGCAATCCTCAATAATTAGTGGTTATGAAGAAACGTAGAAATGTTATATGCATGTTTGTGTAAATATATACTTGCACTATTACTTCCACTTACATGTATGAGGAAAGTCCCGGATATGCATTGAATCGATTAAAATTAATTGTTACTGTTAACTATACTTATACTATAAGTCTTATAGTTATATATAACTTAATATCAATATTAATTAAAAACTTAGAGTAAATATATACAAATTATACCAATCATTGTATAATTATGTAGGTACATATCCATAAACACATAGGTATTGGTAAATTTAAAAGGCATTTCAAAATATATTAATTATTAATTGAAATTATTAATCAAGATATATAAATATGTTTAAGTTTAAGACGTCATTTTAATTCTTAAGGTACCTTTACGTTTTATAATATTATCTTAATTGTTATAATCGGCCAAAAAAATACACTATTTCTTATAGATTATTGTTATTTAAGGGGTGTCCCGAAAATAATGTGTAAAAAAAATTTGAAGGAAACTTCTTATAAACAAATGGCAAATGGTCCCTAAGGGCACTACAGCCTCTTAAAGGGGCGCCCCTAAAGATGTTTTTTATGTGTTTTATGATTTTTGAAAAGTTTTGAGATAAAATAATAAAATTTTGTATGCTTACCACCATGCTGAATTTAAAAATAACAACAAAATTTAATTTTTTTATTTATGTATTCAAAATTTTTTTAACCCTATATTTTTTGTGTGCAATTGCTTTTTTAATTTGGCAAGTTGCGTCGGGACATCCGAAGTGGATAGACGTGTCAAGTGGTTAAAGAGACCTCTCCTAGCAGCGTATACGAGAGAAATATAATAAAGTTCCAAAAACAAACCAAAGTATTCGGAAATATCGGTCATCGGTAATAAATAAATAAATAAATAAATAAACATTCAAGTGCGGAAAGTGTGATAAGGGCAACAAGTGCAAAAAGAGTGCAACAAGTGCAAAAAAAAAGTGAAACAAGTGTGAAGAGTGGGAGATCTCCCATTAAGGCCGTAAAAGAGTGCAATTGAATAAGTAATAAAGGCCAACGGTCCACCTGGTCAGAAGGGATAGTCACAACCAAAACCTATCAAGTACCTGCAGGGAGGTCCAGAAACATCGGACAGACCGTGAAAGACCGAGCATCAGGATTATAGCCGAATATCCAAGCTAAGTAATTTTTCTAACTGCACACTGAGAAAACGAAATATTTAATATTAAGAAATCAAAACAGTTGCGATTTTTTAAAATATTTGTTAACTATTAAAAAATTTCTTAATCGTGAACAAATTATATACTAATTATTAAAACATCGTCCGGTGACTGTGTTTCAGACAAAT